CGTAGAGCGGCAACCTCACCACGTAAAGTAGACACCTCCACACGCCATGCACCATCGTTATCGCGTAGAGTATCGATCTCCTCACGCAAGGCATTGACCTCATCACGTAACTCCCTTGACTCATCCGTGGAGGTGGAGAACAGGGAGATAGAATCGTGGCATCTTTGCCGGTCGCTATCATGAGGTGATGGTGGAGAAGAGGCTCAATGATGTGACGGGATAGGTGATGGCTCTCGTTGTAGAGGTGTATAGTCGGGTCGATCAGGTGATGGCTCTGGGTGAGGTGATGGCTCTCGAAGTGGAGGAAGTGGAGGCTGCTCATCATTCGTGCCATCAAGAAAACGCTGACTAGCTTGCCACCAATCAGTGGCAAGCTCAGACTCCGTGGGGTCAGTCTCATTAATGGAATGTTGGCCTCCTAAAAATATAAAACTCAAACAAAGTTAAACGTTACTATTAATAACTTGTTTATATATGATAGTATTTGTGTTAACTTACATTATTGTCGCATATGGTATTAAGTCTTCCCAATCCAACAGACGTTTCCTCTTCCAGGAAATAGCACTGGGAATATCATTTTGAAGTTTTTATTGCATATGTCTTCATGGCGGGAAGGCCTCGAATATCCAAATCTACAAACAATAAATAACAAACATTAGTAATTGTTAAATAATTAATTATAATTTTGAAAACATTATATAGAAATTCTTACCTTAAAGGCCCAAACAAAGCTGACAAAGTGTATTTCGACCCATCGCCCGTAAACTTTTGCGGTCATCAAAGGCAGACGACAACTTTAGTCCAGGTAGCTTCCATATATACGAACCCCACGGAAACCATATTCCATGCATTTAGGTCCTCTACCAATAATATTAGCTCCTGAGGAATAGGTTGTCTGGCCTCTCTGCCTAAAAAGCCGGCCATACAAAAGTAGTAGAAGGCATACTCGGACAATATCGACGTCATTCATCCGAGTAAAACCATTTCTTATTAAACAATTTCTTCATGTCATCGACGTGTAAGTTCGGCTTCTCTATTGACTCATCAGGAAAAACCCTGGATAACCATGATGGGCGGGTGATATGACGAGTGTACGGCCTACATCATCGTGTTCGAATCGTAGACCAGTGATTAAGCAGAACTCCTTCCGCCCAAAACAAGTATACGCCGGTAGAAACTGAAACCATATCTCTTCGTCATCACGTTGTATACTGTCGGGTAGATCGCTAGTCATGGTCTGAAGCCACAAATGGGTCAAATTAGCATCTCCACCCGGATGCTGTACTCTCAGCCATGGCCCGAAGCAGGTTTCCTCAAACAATTTTCTTTGTGCAGGTGAAAGCTTCGAAGCAATTGTAGTGGCTAGGCTAACTTTATTCCTTAATGTCAATGAAGCCGAAAAAAATTTCTACAAAAACAATAAACATACCAAGTTAGATATACCAAAAACTACACTGTGAAGATATACCAAAAACAATAAACATAAATAGTAGTTTATTCTTGAAACTAAAATTTGCAACACTGTTTTGTCTTTTGGTTGAAATGAAAATCGCAACGAGATAATGAGAATCGCAACGCGGAAATGACTATCGCAATGAGAGAATCGCAACGAGAGAATCGCAACGCGAAATGAAAATCGCAATGCGATTTTGGTTTCGCGTTGCGATAGTTATTTCCGCGTTGCGATTTTCATTCTCGAAACTATTCTTCTTCTGCATTACTTCAACCAAAAGACAAAACAAAGACAAATACTAACTTTACAGGCTAAACAGTTTAGCAGTATTGGCAGCAATCGAATGAATTTAATAAGAAATCTAAGTGAAATGATTAATCTATTATTGAAATTACCAGTAAACTTATCATCAATCTCAATATAAAAACCTAAAATAATGCAAAAATTTCAAAATAAAAATAAAAAAAACTAACCCTCGGAGGTTGATTTTCCATTTCTGAGTGATTGTGAGGGATTTCTGACTGTGAATGGTTGTGAGGGATTTCACCGGCGATGGGGACGAAAATCTTCGGAGATGGGGACGGATTTCGCCGTAGAGAGTGAGAGATGGAGATGGGACTGAGTGTTGTGATTTTAGGTTTGAGGTTATGAGTTGCGATTACTGTGGACGGTTCAGTTTCCGATTTATTAAGAAAAAATTCGTGTTTGGAATTTGAAAAAAAAATACGCGTTAATACGAATGGCGCTATGTAAATCGCATTGCGATAGTAAGATTCGCATTGCGATTTACGTATTCGCATTGCGATTTTCCTAATTCGTATTGCGATTTACTTAATCGCGTTGCGATTTACGTATTCGCATTGCGAATTATGAAAATCGCAACGCGAATACGTAAATCGCAATGCGAATTAGGAAAATTGCATTGCGATAGTCAGTATCGCATTACGATTTTTCAAATTCGCATTGCGATTTACTTATTCGCATTGCGAATTGGGAAAATCGCAACGCGAAATTGGAAAATCGCATTGCGATAGTCATAATCGCGTTGCTAATCTGGAAACTGATTTGCGATAATGGAGATCGCGTTGCGAATTAGCGATCGCATTGCGATTTTGTTTGGTCATTTTGGCAAATCCGGAAAAAGTTGGTTAAAATCGTATATTATATGGGATTTTTGGTCACTGAGGTTATTTTCTCTTCCTTTTATGGTGACAGTGAATCAAATTTGAGTTTTGGTCGGTATAGGGCTTTCTAGGGTGAGAGTGATGCAATATCTTTTAGTACTTATGGAGGGGACTCGGATGCTTCTATGGATGGACACAGTTTCCTGGATACAGAAATATTCGTTCAAGCTGAGAGTAGGAGTGATATTAACAGTTATAGTGACACTGATATTGATCCAATGCATGTTGGTCTGAACTAGGGGTGTAAACGAGCCGAGTCGAGCTCGAGTATTGCTGAGCTCGACTCGACTCGAAAACTCGCGAGCTTAAAATTTTTAAGCTTGATTCGAACTCAAAATTCTGAACTGAAGCTCGTGAGCAGCTCGAAATGAAAAAAAAATTGTTAAACTTAACTCAATTAAAACATAAAACTCGAACCTGAACCTTAAATATATGAAAATCTTATTGTATTTTAAAAAATAATATATAAATGTTAATATTATTAATAATTTATTTTAAAAAAATAAAATCTTAATATATTATAATTTTTAGTTGCTAGCTTTTCGAGTCGAATATTAAGTAGCTCGTTTCAGCTCGTTAAGAACTCGAGTCGAGCTCGAGTTGAGTCCATTCGATCCGAGTATTTATCAAGCCTTGATCGAGTCGATCTCGAGTAGCTCGCGATCTGTCTCGTCTTATTTACAGCCCTAGTCTGAACCAATGGAACTGGGATGAACCAGAAGAAGATGAAGGGGGCGAAGATGGTGATGGGAAGAAATGGATGCTGGGGAATATTCAATTGGACATACTACGTATAAACTGGACTTCTAAATTTGTTTACTTCAAGTCCAAATGAAGCCAACCTCCCTGTTTCTAATTTCCTTCGCTCCAGAGCTGGCTTTGAACAACTGCTTGACCATGTGGCCGAGACTGATGGCTCTAGGAGAGGGCACCTCCTGCATTTTATCTTTTGTGAATAATTTGCTCGTGTTGTCAGTGAGGAACATGAGAAGTCTGATGGTTTGGCCTGTTCAATCTAAAAGGATGTTTTGCCTGTTGGCATTGAAGTAAATTAGCTTCCTTGCCTTCACGTCTATCACCCTTCTTGTATCTTGCCATGGTTGAGGGAAAGGAATTCATGCCCCCTTTGCCGCTATGAGGTTCCTACTGTTGACAAAGATTATGAAGAGGGAAAGCAACACATGAATAGTAGGATGGAGATGCATGAAATCCAGCACCAAAATGCAAGTGAAGATGGTTTCTCTGAGGACTCTGATGAAGCTGAAGCAGATGAAGCTTGTGAACTTGGTTCATTTCAATTACATGATGTGCCACATGTGGATCCTACCATCAGTAGCTCTGCAGGGAGGGTGGTAGAGACTGGCTATTTCGTGCTGCTGCTCCCTTTGCTGTATTATGGGTGTTGTCTTGTCTTATGGTTAGGCAAGCCACTAGTTGGAAGAAGAGGATCATAGGTGGTAGCAATCTACCTTCATGGGGACAACATCAAATTCAGGTTTCAAGTATATCATTTCTGAACCAAAGGGCCATCAATGGTGGTCTCTCTTTTGAGAGGTGGGTAATTACCCTTCCCTCACGATTCAAATCTAGTCTTCATATTGTAACCTCACCTGCGAATTGTTGAGTGCCACCCTTTCCATCGGATTTCGGCATTAGTATGGTAGTTTATTAATATTTTGGTTTATTGTGTATCTTTTTAATCTCATTTTCTGGCCTTGAGAGCAGAATTGGATATGATTATAGTTTCCTACCTCAAGTGTGCTGTGCTTGTGCAAGATCCCCCCCCCCCCCCCAATTCGCTGGACTTTGATTATCAGTAACTGAAACTAAAATGGATGACTGCTTAATGAGTGCTAACTGCTAAATAATTTTAAATATTGTAGCTTTCATACAAGCTAAAATAAATTCAAGCCCGTCCGTCCATGCATCCCCATTTAGATGATGCGATGGTATGAATATTAACATGAACATGTAACAAGCTACTGACAAAGACAGTTCATATCAAGAGAGAATAAAATAAAATAACACACTGCAAAACATTGAGTCAGCAGTGTCCATGGTTGCAGGGATCACAAGCTGCCTTGCCCTGTCAAACAATTCCATCCAATCTGCTTTGTGCTCGTTTTAGAAAGTATGTTGAGATACAGAATTATCCATCCTGCCATAGTGAAAACTGCAAATATATGAACCCAGAATAGCGCAGCCGCTGCCTCCTTTCCGTATCCTCTTAAATTAGCAACAGCACCTGCAACACAATTCCCTGATCATGGATGGGCTATTCTATGAATATAAGCTACTTAGACTTGATAAAAATAAAATCATCAATCTACCCTAAACAGAAGCAATCCATGGGAATCAACTTTATTATATCATGCTTCTTACTAGCCTGTCCTAATATAGTTTTGTAACGCAAGGATATTCACTTTACCAGAAAGGACAGATGTTGGCATAGAATGCTGAAGGAGTAGGACAAATCGGAACATTTTATCACCCTCAGGAAGGAAACCAAGCTTATCAGCCAGTGTTACAATGCCCAGCCCCGCAGGAGGCACCAAGATTAAGCGCCCAATTATAATAGCCACAAGTGTTCTGACACCAATTCTTGCACTTCCTGGCCCTGGTCCTGCAAATCATGCAACATGGTTTGGTATGGTAGGAAGGTAGGCCAGGATTCATTAAAACCCTTCTCAAACATGGTGACCGAGGTATTTAACTTACCATCAACAAGGTTGCCTCCTAATGCCAACAATATGCATGGGATCAAGGCCTTCCTGTTTACATCGAACACATTAACACATCATAAAACCAAATACCAAGACACCAGCATTAATAGATAACCAACATACTCCTATCAACTTCAACCAAAGAATAAAGAAGCAACTTATTTTCATGAGACTAAGCAAAACATACCCAAGAATAATGCAGCTGTCAGTGAAGAAATAAAGTGGAGCATCTCTTGTAAATATTAATTTCTTTAGAACCGGTATTGTGCCTATAATCATGGCTAGGATCTGCAACATGTTATAATTGCCAAGAAAAAGCAGGAGAGGAATATGTTACTTGGTTCGCCAAAATGGAAGTGGAAAAACCACTGCAACTTCAAACACCATATAAAATTCGAGATTTGACAGTGGCTTGGAAGGAAACTTGCAGTTACCACTGCAAACCAAACCAGTGGCTAGTTTACGAAAGAGAAGCCAACAAAAAGTCTGAAACTTACAGATGCAACAATAGGGGGTTGAAGGATTTGCTTAAGCTTTAGCTTGTCATAAACCAAAACTAGAAAACTTTTAATCTGCACCAAAAAAGTAAGATAGATAGATAATCAGGAAAACTTTGTTGGAAGCAAAGCATGAATCCAAACTCACTCAAGCAAACATGATCCTCACCTTTCCTTTCTTTGAATTGTCTAAATCCGTTGGTGAAGTCTCTTGCCCCAGCAATGGAACATTCTCAGGAGAGGCATCCTTCTGAGGGATCTTAAGGGGGAGATTCCCAGCCTCATGGTCAAAGGTACCTTCCGGGGGTGGGGCTAACATGTGAAATACATATGTGTATAGAATGATTGCACCAACCTAACATTAATGAGTTATAAGCTTAACTGGTTAGTGTATTTGCTAAGGATAGATGGTAACTTTTTTCATCGGCATAAAATGGTAAAGTTAGCACATCAAATTAAGTTAGAGCACTGTATAGTCTGACATACATACCCACTGTCCAAATGAAATGTATGCAGTTCCCTGAGTGCTGCATGTTTCAGTGTCGCCAAAAGGATTGGAGGTATCTCTACATAAAGCTGCAATCAGAACAAGTGGTACGTTCCCAATGTTTCCTGCAATCATCGGACTACAATTCATACAGATATTGTGTTGTGTGGCTGATATCATCTTTAGTGTGTTAAGATAATGCATGTTAATATATTATACATGATGCAAAGCTTACCGATTGCAATTTGTATGACTGAGAATTTGAAGTAGGGGTATGGAGGTTTCACTAGGGTTACAACAACATAACCTATTATAGAGCCAGAGATTGCGCCCAGAACAACATTCACTGGAATGAACCACCTGCAAGTGCATTGCAACACCATATTAGTATAGGTTTTTGATGATATATAAGAGAGACGCAATAAAGAAGAAAAGTGATGGATGATCGAATACCATTGAAGCATTTTCTGTAGAGTAATAGCTTGCCCGAGTTGAGAAAAGATTAAACACGGGAGCAGAAGGGAAAACACTAACTGCATGTAACGGGTAAATGGAATGTTAAGTGTGTAACAGAGTATGTATTTGCCAAATCAAATTAATATGTTAAAAGAGAGAATGGACATGAGAAAGTGATTACCCCATTTAAAAGCTTTCTGCCATTTTCAGGAAAGATATTAACATACTTGGAAGCCATTAGGAAGCCCAAGAAACACAAGGTGAATACTTTTGCTACTGGCAAAACTGCTATCTTTATGCTTCCTAACAATGACTGATGTCCCGCTGCCACTGCCGCCGCCGCTGCTACAACGGCTGCCTCCTTCAGAGATGAGAGAAGAAACCTTGCCATTATTTTTTTTTTCTGTTTTAGAATATTTTGTGCTTGTTGCCTATATAGAGACGAGTATCAGTCAGTTGTAACTTTTAGGTTGAAACACAATTGGGAAGCCGACATCCAATGAAACTAACGCAATCCTTATGAATCGGAATACGAAAACTTGAGATATAGTTCTTCTCGATTTGTTTTTCTAGTTAGGTGTTGTGGTTACATTTATATAGTATAGCTTAAGTTATGAAAATAGCTCCACTTGTTGATCTTGACTCCCAATGTCATCTTAACTAATTCCTATATTTTGTAGAATAAGATTCTTGTTTTATTTGAATTGATTTTTAGTACCATATAGCCCGTACAAGTGGAAATTTCCTCATCTGTCTGTCTGTCAGTGGGATATCGACCTTTTACATCTTGAATTTTCCCCTCCACTTCCTTTCTTTTTGTTTTGGCACTGTGTCTAGCGTTTAAGATATATAGCAGATAGCTAGTAGCTTACCCAGCCAGCTGAATGGCGGCTTTTTGTTTCTCAGCACTTGATGTATACATGGATCGGGACAACTAGGAAGGGAAGTTTCCCCCGTATTTTCCTGGGAAATTAATCAGTGCCAAAAGTACCACCTCCATCTGCACTGGCTCAATGATTAACATGTTTGCGAGTAATGCCCAGAGACTAGCAAAGCTATTACTATTCATTCATTCAAATACAAAAGACCCTTCCATTTTGAAAAGCTTAAATATGTATTATCAACATCAAGTTTTTGCCATCTACAAATTACTTACCTAACCACACCTTAATGATCAAACTCTTACCACATAATAAATCTAAACTGTGTTAATACATTCGGTCTAGTTTCTGCATATTACTTTCCCTTTCTTCTTGTGTCAATGACCACATCACCACCTTCATTGTTTTTACCAAATTAAAAGATAAATCTCTAAATTGAAGTAATCATTCTAATTGCTGTCAATTCGACAAAATTGTTGGGATAATGTTTAGAGAAAAAAGAATGACTCGTGGGGGCTGTTGGAAAAATCATTTTCTCAACTGGAGTAGGATGAACAGTGAAGGGGAAAGTAGATTGAACCACCTAACGTGTTCATAAAATCGACCAGACCACCTGATAGTTTTGACATAGAACTTAAAGGAAGAACTGAATTCTTCAATTCTATTCATATAAAGATTAGTGATGTTTATAGAGATGTATGAGCCATGGATCTCCAATCGTCATTCACCTTTCTTATCTCAATTAGAACCGTGCATGCATTAACCGAATTTGAAACATTTACTTTGATGGGTATAATTGCATACAATCTTTAATGATTCTATGATTTGCATTTCACCCAACTTCTTTGCCTAAATTACAAATGTCCTTATCGTCAAGGTATTGGGCCTAGGCCCTTCCAAATATTTTATCTTGTTTTATTTTTGGTCCTATTTAGTTTGAATAAAAGTTAAATTAAATATTATATCTTAAATTTTAGAATTAAATATTTATGTAATTTAAATTATTATTATTTGAATAATTTGGAACGATTATAAGAAAGTACTTGTTTCTTGTTCAAGAGTCATGTGAAAAGTTTTTCTATAAGGGATAAAATTATTTAAAAATTTGATCATCTGAGATACTAACAATTTTACTTGAACTAACACAACATAATACAAATGATAAAAATGGACTTTGTCGTGGTGATGGTGAGAAATAGTATTTGATTGAGGAGTAAAACCCAACAAGGTTAAAGAGAAGGGGATTGGCCCATTTATCCGTTGTCTCCGGGCAATGCAGTTTGGGCTTGGTGAGATCTACAGTTACTATGAGCTCAGTCCCTTAAACCCTAATAACATTTCTCTGCTCTGCTCTGTTCTGTTCTGCGGATCTTCCTTCGCCTCTTCCGATTCCAATGACTTTCCTCTCTGTTTCTAAGCGTTTCCATTTGAAGCTGAGTCGTGGTGTCTATCCCAGAATCTCAGTCCCTTTGCATTTCTTCAGTACCACCCAAGATTTAAAGCCACCTCAACAGCAACAACAAGTGGCCAGCACCCAGAGAACCCCGCGAGGTAAGACTCGAAACCCTGAGAAAATAGAGGACATCATTTGTAGAATGATGGAGAACCGGGCTTGGACCACCCGCTTACAGAACTCCATCCGTGCTTTAGTCCCTGAATTCGACCATTCACTAGTTTATAACGTTCTACATGGTGCTAAGAACTCCGAACATGCCCTCAACTTCTTCCGGTGGGTGGAGCGGGCTGGATTGATCCGCCACGACCGTGAATCCCACATGATGATTATTCAGATTTTAGGCCGAGCTTCCAAGCTGAATCATGCCAGATGCATACTTCTAGACATGCCCAAAAAGGGCGTTGAATGGGATGAGGATTTCTTTGTTCTTATGATTGATAGTTATGGGAAAGCTGGTATAGTTCAAGAAGCTGTCAAAATTTTCCAGAAAATGGAGGAGTTGGGTGTGGACAGGACTATCAAGTCTTATGATGTTTTCTTTAAGGTTATACTGCGACGTGGTCGATATATGATGGCCAAAAGGTATTTCAATAAGATGTTGAGTGAAGGGATAGAGCCTACTCGTCATACCTATAATATCATGCTTTGGGGATTCTTTTTGTCGCTGAGACTCGACACTGCTAATCGGTTTTATGAAGATATGAAGACTAGGGGCATTGCACCTGATGCTGTGACGTATAATACATTGATTAATGGATATACTCGGTTCAATAGAATGGAGGAAGCTGAGAAGTTGTTTGTAGAGATGAAGGCGAAGAACTTAGCCCCTACAGTAATCAGCTACACTACCATGATAAAGGGGTATGTTGCAGTGGAGCAAGTTGATGATGGGTTGAGATTGTTTGAAGAGATGAAGTCATTTGGTATAAAGCCTAATGCAACAACGTATTCAACTTTATTGCCAGGGCTGTGTGATGCGGGCAAAACAAATGAGGCTAAGACTATTTTGAAGGAGATGGTGGAGAGATATATTGCACCCAAGGATAATTCAATTTTCATCAAGCTGTTAAATAGTCAATGCAAATCCGGTGATATGAAGGCAGCTTCTGATGTGCTCAAGGCAATGATTCGATTGAGTATTCCAACAGAGGCTGGTCATTATGGTGTCTTGATTGAGAACTTTTGCAAGGTGAATGAGTTTGATCAGGCAATCAAGTTGCTGGATAAGCTTGTTGAGAAGGAAATTGTGTTGAGGCCAGAAAATTCTTTCGAGATTGAAGCTAATGCATATAATCCAATGATTCAGTATCTATGCCACCATGGTCAGACAGGAAGAGCTGAAGTCTTTTTCCGCCAATTGATGAAGAAGGGTGTTCTGGATCCTACTGCATTTAATAATTTGATCCGTGGGCATGCAAAAGAAGGTAATCCTGGTCTCGCTTTTGAAATTATAAAGATCATGGGTAGGAGAGGGGTGCCTAAAGATGCGGATGCTTACAAATTGCTCATTGAAAGCTACTTAAGGAAAGGTGAGCCTGCTGATGCTAAAATGGCATTGGACAGTATGATCGAGGATGGGCATCTTCCTGAATCTGGCATATTCAAATCGGTGATGGAGAGTTTGTTTGAAGACGGAAGGATTCAAACTGCAAGCAGAGTTATGAAGAGCATGGTGGAGAAGGGAGTGAAGGAGCATATGGACTTGGTGTTTAAGATCCTGGAAGCTCTCCTCATGAGAGGTCATGTTGAAGAAGCCCTTGGACGGATTGAGCTACTGATGCAAAATGGGTGTGCAACCAATTTAGATAGCCTTCTATCCATTCTGTCCGAGAAAGGCAAGACTATTGCTGCTCTCAAGTTGTTAGATTTTGGTTTAGAGAGAGACTGTAACATAGATGTTTCAAGTTATGAGAAGGTGTTGGATGCTCTCCTGACTGCGGGGAAGACTCTCAATGCATATTCAATACTGTGCAAAATAATGGAGAAAGGAGGGGTCACTAACTGGAGTAGCCTCGAGGATTTAATCAAGAGCCTTAACCAGGAAGGGAACACAAAGCAAGCTGATATACTCTTTAGAATGGTCAAAGTGAGTGAGACAGCTAGTGGAAACAAGAAAGCGTAGAAACAAGCAGCTATTGCTAGTTTGATTATCTTTTCATTAGAAAACAAAGCTCTTTTGTATTGTGAGAATGTTGATCATGAAATGTGGATTATTTGTTTCATTCAACTGTCATTTTTAATAATCTGGAGCATCTAAGTTTCCATTTGCTCCTTTGCCCCCTTTTGTTATCAACTAAGAATCTCTGTATTCCATTTTTGTTTTTCTCAACTAAATGTAATCGGGCATGTGGTGTCCACTGTATACTTGAAATGTTGGTTGGTGGGAGAGGAGAATATACATGTACGTATTCAAGGTAAAGAGACAAGGAAGGCATTTAATGCAAATGTATCAAGCAATGGTGGAATATAATTATTAAATGCAATGAAATGAAATTCAACGTCAATGCTAAATAAAGAAGATTGATTTATTGCATTGCAATTGCAAGCCGATGCTAAATTGCTAGTGCCAATGGTTAACTCAAATGGTAATAAGAGGTAGACGTAAAGAGGAGCGTTGGGCAACGGCAAGTGGCAACTCGCACATTTCCAGCTAAGATTGTTGGCAGTTGGCATTGGCAGGCAACATCATTGTCAATTTATCATTCCTAGGTGATTGTCTTATTAGATGACAAGTGCCCTTTGATATTACAGGGCTTCACTGCATTCATCCACACACCCTAGTTTCTACTAACTCACCCACCGACCCTTTACCTCTCACCACTCACCAGTCAGCACTGCATTAAATACGTGTCTTTTAGCCTACCTTGTTCTTTTTCCTACTCCATATTTTTTTTGTTCTCTCTTTTCTGGTCCTCCCTTTGTGTGCTGTTTCTCTTCGAACTCAGACCATAATCCTCAGCTATGTCAGGTCTGTATAATCACCGCTTCTCCCCTGTCAGAACTGCTTCTCCACTTATTAGAAACACCCCGGACATTGATAGGTACTCTACATGCCAAATTCTTCTCAACTATATCAATAGTAACAATGTAAAATGTTCCCCCTTTTTTTTATATATAACAATATTTGATCGGATTTTGGATTCTCTTTCCTGTCCTCAGTCAGCTCTTATCAGAGCTGTTGGCGGAGCATCAAAAGCTTGGTCCTTTCCTGCAAATCCTTCCGACATGTAGCCGATTGTTAAATCAAGGTTACATCTTTACTCTCTCATGCTTGGATCTGTTTTCTGATTGAGGGTAGTGATGAGATGTTCTGGACGAGGTGTGTTTCGTTTTCCACTACTTATTCTCTTTAATTGTGATGGCCTCGGCTTGATCAAGTACTCAACCCAACGTTTGGATGATAGCTAATGGTCTAATGCTGTATTGTGACAACTCTCACCACACCATTGTGATTAAAACTGTCACTACGTGGTACTTTGTTTAAAATTTTATAGGATAAAAATGCCGTCATCTCCAGCTGACAAACATTCTAGACTGCAAAAAAATTCCAAGCCTCGGCTGAGAAGCATTTACGGGGTGCTTTTCTTTTCCCTTTCGATTCGTGTGCTTATATATCTGTTACAGATGCATATCAATTTCGAAGAGGTTCTTAAGTTTTGGATTTCGATAGCTTATTGCATTTCAAGTTTACTTGCCTATCGAGATGAAATTTTGACTAAGTGGGCGTAGAAAAGGAGTAGCATTGTAACTTGACATTCAATTAGTCTAGGTCAAAGTCTAACAAAAACAAAACTCCTGACCGATTGCTTTGCTAAATCTGAATTCATAATATCTTTTGATGCTTAATCTGAGTGCGAGGGTGTTTATTTTATCACCTTCGATTTGTTTTGGATGAGAAGTGATCTATCTGGAGTTGTACACATTCATTGTTTAGCTGCGAACAGAAGCTAATATACTTTTCCTGCTAAACAAAGAAGGTGTACAACTCCAGATAAATGATTTATCTGTTGTTTTATATATAACGCCCTTCTTATGCAGAGATAATCCGGTTATCTGGAATGATGTCAAACCAAGGATTTGGTGACTTTGACAGGATGAGGCATAGAAGCCTCAGTCCCATGGCTTCTTCAAACATTATGTCAAATATTTCTGAAACTGGATTAGGCAGCTGGAATAACCTTCTTCAAGAGGTATTGTTTTTATTCTTGGTTGCATAGTTCAGTGTTTTTTTTTAATATATGTGCAATATTTATGTCACGCCAACATATAAGTTCACAGTTTGGGTAATGAGTGACAATTTTATGCTTTTATTATTTGAATATGCTTTAAGATTATTTCTGGTAAATACCCTTAAAATGTTAGTGTCTAAAAATCGGAAAGAAGAACCATAATGTGCTGAAGTCTTTCTGTTTCCTGACTTCATAAAAACCACAAACAACAATAAAGTTTGAACTTGTTTCTCTTTCTTTATCAGTATGAATAATGAGCTTTAAAATCAGTTCTTACACTAATTATTTTCTGCTTCAAATGCATACTGTCAGATATTATGAATTTAATTTCCTGCTACTTCCTTTATACTTGTTGCATTCTGTATCATTCAAATTGACAGAGCACACATTATATGTACCATTCCTCTACCAGTGACCCATTTTGATATGTTTTGATGTGTGCATAGTCATATGTCATATCTCAAAAAAAAAATGATGTATGCATAGTCACATGTGTGAGTGTGAATAATCTGTTTCTGTTCCAAAACTATGGCTTTTTGGCTCTGGTTGCTACATTCAATTCAACAAATATGGAAAATTGCCAAATTATCTCTAAAAAGTCAAATGGTGAATATCTGAGTTTCTTATTTATCCTCTTGGCTCTGGTTGATGACTCTAGACATAAAGATATCTAGTCTCCAATAGTTTACTTGGCGATGGGTTATCATAAGTAACTCTGATTGGAACTGGGTTTATTCCTATCTCAAGTCAATGGTTGTCAAGTTAATGTGGTTGAAGCGCAGAAGGCTTTGCTTATTATAATAGCTATCTTTCAGTTCAATTTTAGTTGCTATGATGTATTTAACTTTTAACTTCTTCATCTGTCATTTTGAATTTGAATCGGTTAACATTCTAAATCTATTTTATCACATTTTAGCACCTGGTCTTTAATGAAGCACTGGGAAAAATGTTATCTTGGAAAGTCGAGTGAATTAGTGTTCAGGAGGGTTATTTCAAGCTAAAACTTGTTATCAAGTATGTGCCTCTTGCAGTCACGTGGATTGAGCCTTATGATCTTTTGTGCTACTGTTGCCTTTTTTATTTTGACAGAGACTAAATGGACCTCCTGGGATGACAATGGACTGGCAAGGTGCACTAGCAAGCCCTAGTTCATACACTGTGAAAAGGATCTTGCGTCTTGAAATCCCTGTCGATACATATCCAAATGTAAGCTTTATATGAAAAATGCTAGTACATTACATTAAAACTTGTTCATTGATTATATTAGAATTATTCAATGGAATGGAACATATGTTTTTATGAGTATTGATGTCTACACTCTGATTTTTTTTACATTGTTACTTGCTAGTTCAATTTTGTCAGACGACTTCTAGGGCCTAGAGGCAATTCATTAAAGTGGGTAGAAGCTACCACTGGATGCCGTGTATATGTCAGAGGCAAAGTATCAATAAAGGATGCAGACAAGGTAAAGTTACAAAAGTACAGTTTTCTTTCTTTCTTTCTTTCTTTTTTTGGGATATACGATGTAGTATTCATCCAAAGTAACCATCTCTATACAAAACAAATAAAACCAACAAAGAAAACCAGCAATTCAACTATAAACACCACCCCTCCCAGGACATGAGCAAAACAAACAGAAAAAACATATATTAAACCCCACTCTGCAGCAAGAGCAGAGGAGGAGACAACAACCTTTGTACATCCTTTTAATTTCAGCCTAACATCACGCTAGATCTTAAGAACAATACCCTCAATCTTTCGTGGGGCTACATCATGCAGTCTATTGTTTCTCTCCTTCCAAATAAATAAAGATAGAAACACCAGGCTATCCGAATGATAGTGGCCTTCAAAGACTTCCCCTATCATGATCCTGCACCCAATCCACCTTATCCATCCAGCAATTTAAAAGGTTGTTTCCATGACAAACCTGTATAATTTCCATCCAAATCTGTTTGGAGAAATCACAATCAGCAAAAAGGTGATCCCAAGAAAAGATAAGTGAGCTGTATTGTGCTCCTTGATGCAATGAATTTCTGATTGATACGTCGAAGCACCCCAAGAAAAAAACAACAAACCCCTTCCAATTTTTTCTCTTATCTTTTTCTTTCAACAAAAAATCAAATGGTTTTGGATAATAATTTCCCATATTTTTCCATCTCAAGGAAGAGCAGCTCAGTGGTAGACCTGGCTATGAGCATCTGAATGAGCCACTCCACATCTTAATTGAGGCTGATTTCCCTGCTAATGTTGTCGATATAAGGCTTAGACAGGCTCAAGAAATCGTGGAAGAACTACTGAAACCTGTGGTATGTATTGCTGCTATCTTGTTCTTCTAAGTTTGTTAGTCATAGCCATAGGTTGCTCTCATAGATGCTTCCTCTTAAAACTCCATTGTTTGTCACCAAATTAGCAGTTTTTCTTGTGTAAGCAGTTTCCTCTGAAAAATTTCAGCATCCTAACGATTATGTGCAGAGGTATTTTCCTTTTACTAAACTGAAGAGGTATTCTCATATGTAGGATGAGTCGCTGGATTTTATCAAGAGGCAGCAGTTGCAGGAGCTGACAATGCTAAACACAAATTTGAGAGAGGAGAGTGCCGGTCCGGGCGGTAGTGTTTCACCTTTTGATTGCAGTGGAATGAAACGTCCCAAAACAGGACGCTGAGAGATCCAACATTTCTTTTACCCTGTCCCAGAACTCTCAGCCAAATCTCCTCTAAAGCAAACATCAGTTGGGCATAGCTTGAAACAATTAGGCACAGTTGGATTCATTCTATATAATAATATAGTATACGATGTATTTGTGTTCCAAGAAGATCATATTTGTTGTTCCTTTTGTAATAATATGTATATCTATATGTACTAAAAAAATAATATGTATATCTATATGAGGCATAGAAATGTGAGTTGGGTTTACGATATTCTTGTTTTTTGGGGTCCTGTCTTGGTGGCTGGATAGAGCCTAGAATTTGTATCTTTTCTTGAAGATTGCCTTTGCACAAATTGGGAGATTTTGAGGATAAAACATTTTCTGGAAACAGCATCAAGCAGAATGCAAACATTTATAGTAAGTATAAGCTGAACCAGGAAAAAAGAAAACTATGATTGAAAACTGAAAATGGACAAAAATAATCGTCCGACCTGCCGGATTCGAACCAGCGACCTAAGGATAACAGACGGAAGCAACACCAACTACAGTCCTCCGCTCTACCAACTGAGCTAAGGTCGGATGCTTGGAACATATGCCAATTTTATTATATTATTTATAATATATTCAATTTGAAAGCAAGCATAACCCTATTTCTCACTCTTCTCCGAAGTCCCAACCATTTCCATCTTAGCGCAACGCTATCTCAGATTCTGGTATTCCCTTTTCAACTACATTTCTGGTTCTCCCTCTCATAGTAAGTAATAACCCCGCGTTCTACTACCTTATTCACTTTCTCTCTTCTGCTCTTTGTAGAGTTGAGTTTCAGGAATCAAATTCGGTCGATCTAATGGCTGCCGTGGCTCGGTATCGTTTATCGGAGTTGACGAGACAATCGCCTAACACGAGTGATATCCGTCGTCTCAAATCTCAATCCCCACATGTCGTTTTGTTCCCTCAAAACCAACCGATCCGCTGCCAGCTCTCTAAGCTTTCCATTCCCAAACTTCACATCTCATGTTCTGGAGGAGACGATGGAAACCATGGGGTTGGTGGAAGCGGAGGTGGTGGTGGAGGAGATGGAAATTCCAACGATAATTCCTGGCAGGCTTTGGCATTCTGGGTCTTCTTCTAAGTGGATGGAGAGACAGAATTGCAGCAGATCCCCAGTTCCCGTTCAAGGTTTTAATGGAAGAGTTGGTGGGAGTCAGTGCTTGTGTTGTTGGAGACATGGCTACACGTCCTAATTTTGGTCTTAAGGAGCTTGACTTCGTTTTCTCAACTTTAATCGTCGGTTGCATCCTGAACTTCACTCTCATGTATCTTTTGGCACCAACAGCCTCAGCATCATCTTCTTCAAGTCTCCCTGCTATCTTTGCAAAATGTCCACCAAGTCATATGTTTGAACCAGGTGCTTATACCCTGATGAACCGTTTCGGGACTTGTGTGTACAAAGGAGCCGTCTTTGCTGCTGTGGGATTTGCTGCAGGCCTTGTGGGAACTGCCATCTCAAATGGATTGATCAAGATGAGGAAGAAAATGGACCCCAATTTTGAAACACCCAACAAACCTCCTCCTACTTTGTTGAATGCCCTCACCTGGGCTACTCAAATGGGTGTTAGCAGCAATTTGAGGTACCAAACGTTGAATGGGATCGAGTTTCTACTGGCCAAGGTACTTCCCCCCATGGTGTTTAAGTCATCAGTGGTGGTTCTGAGGTGCTTAAATAATGTAATTGGAGGGATGTCATTTGTAATACTAGCAAGGATGACTGGGTCTCAGAGTGTTGAAGAGAAGCCAGCAAAAATGAAGATGGAGAAGTTGGTGGACAATTTGGAGACCAAGCAGTCGGCTGTTAAGTGATTTTTCTTTTCTTTTCGTAGGTTGTTTTAGCCATTTTCTGACTTTCTTGTAACTTGGATGTAGCTTGTAATAATAAAATCCAATATATCTACGGATTCCATGGGTTGGATGAACATGTATTTTTAGTTGCATTCTATGGACTTGGTCTTTACCATATGAGTGTGTGATTTGTGTACAAAGCGTCTGCCTTGAATTGATCTCTTGAAATTTGAAGCCACATAATGGGTTGTGGATCGTAGGAAGAGGTTTCTTTATCCCTTTCTTTACCCTATTTGAGAATGAAATATTATCTTTTATCTATATCCTTGATTAAAAGAGAAAGAAAGAAAAGGGAACATTTTTGTATTCACCAGTGCAAGAATCTATCAACACTTCCTCTCTCAATATAAATATTCTTAATTAGAGATAAGACTCTCAAAAGAAAATCAAATCCAGCAATGCCTATGGGTCCCCTTGTTCCGTTAAAATTGTGTAGAAAGATTAAAACTAAGCATACAAATTGTGTAGAACAGAATCTGTTCCACAAACTAATGCAATGGCTAGACACAAAGCATTGATTGAAGCACCCTGGTTGTGGTGCTTAAGCACAATCACCTTATCTTACAGCCTCTGGAGAAGAATTGCAGTAAGGTGTGTGCAAGCAAACTAACTTGTTGCAAGTTAAACTGAGAGCAGCAAAACCAACCCCTACAGCAAGCCCACAGCTGCTTTTTCACATATCTAACCTTGATGCTCTTTGAATTATTCTAACAAAGCATGGGACCAATCCTCCACGGGTCAAAACCATCACATGATCCAGATCGCTGTAGTCAATTCCTGTCAATATTGCTCCAATTGCAGATACTGGGGCTATGAAGCCGATTAGTGCCGCTACGAGAGAGAGCCATACCGGTTGCCAATAGCTCCAAAGATGCAGTTGGCCACTACTGCACCACGGGGAAGCCCATGAAGGGAGACGGGAAGGACCATGTTCCGACCAAGTCCATAAGCTTTTGATGCAGCCACTCCTTCAGCAAGTGCATGGAAATATGTGATTATTTTATTTTAATAGGTATGAAAGTAATTAAACTCAAAACCAGGTTTTGCAAATTAAAGTACCTCTCTTTAATAACTTCTGCTTTTAGTTTGGTTTCTTTCGGTCTAAGAAAACAACTTTTAACCCAAATAGCAAACTGTTTAAGATTATTATAGTTAGGAAAAGAACACGGTGTTAAACAAAATCTCTAATAGAAATAACTGAATAAAACTGAGTCCACCAAATATAGTGCATACTATTGCTAATGAGACAAGTTTTCTGAGCATGAAAACTAGTCTTAATATATTAGAAATAGATTATTAAAAGTTGGGTCCTAAATACACATACTAAAAGGGAATATGAAGTTGGGTCATCTACACTCTCTAGTAAAGGAAAATTGAAATTCGTTATTCGTATTTACATAATACTAATGATTTCACTTTTTGCCTGTGACTCTCAGCGAGATGCAATAGAAGGAATACAACCACTGATAAGATCACTTCCCAATACACAGGATGTCGAAACATGTACCTCCCTGTTAGTGCTACCATATGATGAGGACTCCATCAGTGATTTGCATGAATATAAAGGCATCGAGTCCGATGATGAAGAAACCGATTCAGTTTGGGGCAGCATTTTGAGTATATATTCTAGCTGCCTCACCACTTCTAACATGGATGGCCGCTTCTCTGGGTTGTCCTCGCAGCAACTCAGGGCTAAACCTACCAATCTCTCCATACATTCGGATGGATACCAACCCATTCTACTGTATTCACCTGAGTTTTGCAAACGGTAGCTTTAACATCCACAACAACAATGAGATGTACCAAAATTGTAACACTTGCATAAAAAATGTTGTTTGCGGCTATAAAAGTACCTCTCGGGCGATGTTTCTTCCATGCCATGTTGGTTGCATACCCGTCAACCGCTTCAGGAAAACAACTCCAAGGATATCCCTTCTTCATCACTGTATCCATCTAGCGAAACCAGGTTCCGGTGATGCAGCATTGAAAAAAGCTTTATTCCTGTCAAAAATTCATTTTCCCCCTGCAATGATCCTTCTTCTGCAGGTTTTATGGCAACAACTGTTTTGTCCCTGCAATGATCCTTCTTCTGCCGGTACAAATGGCTGTTCGGGTCCTCTACTTTGAGCAACTACGATCGAAGAATGCTTTGTGCGGAAGCAGTGGGGATGGATTACTCTCCCAGAAAATAAGCAGTGGGGTCCCAAGCGCAGCCATGTCACCTCGAGATAATTATGCATCTCTAAGAAGGGAAAACCAAGATCTGAAGCTAGAGATATCGAGAAAGAGAATAAGGCTGAGTGAGTTGGAGAAAGAACAGGCCAGTGGTGGTGAAACGTGGGATGATGAACAAGTCAGGGAATTGGAAAACATTCTTCAACTCTCTATCAAAGGGGGTTGGAAGGACCGGGATATTTAGCGGTTCCGGTGAAGGAAAACTCCAACAATCAGGCCGAAAGTATTCACTTGCTTGCTGTATTTAATAGTAGGTAGTAGGACGTGAACCTTCAAATTTCTAAATATATGTATGTATATGACATGCATATGCAGAGTTGTATAATTTGATCGCTTGACAATGGCAATCAACAATTAACAAGTAGCCCACGGTTGGAAGAATGTGCCACGAATTTGGTACGATTTATTTATTTTTAATAAACCATTAAGCAAAAACAAATATGGAAACAATTCATACCATATAATGTATTATATATATACAGTAAGGGTCATGCACCCTCCTTTCCCACCAGACGCCTTCGAATCTGCATGGATGCATAAATAAGAAGCATCAACTTCTCAACCAAGAAACCATTGTAATTGTAGTAGCAGTAGATATATACCTCAGGTAGTTCCTGTTTGAAAGCAACTTCAAGGCTTGCATCTAAAGTACTAACGAAAACAATCTTCCCGTCTTCCGAAGCCAACACAATTTGGCCCGAACTGTATATTATTGTTCAACATTACATAACATGCACGGAGCTAAGCAATACATAGAAATCGAGATTAGTTGGATACCATTAGGGTTGATGGCGAAATCATTTGCATCTGGGGGAGGAGGCGGTGGGAGGCTCACATTGTCGATGACAATCTTAGGGGAGCTACAATGAATTTCTCAGCATACTCTCGCTTAGCTTCCTCGATGATAAACTCGACCAGCTTACGATCCACCTCTCGACACCTCAGAAACACCGATGGTTCCCTCAGCCGAACCAGACTCTGCACCACTAAAGCCTTGACCAAGTTCTTGTATCCCCTTTTGTCATTTCCCAAACGCTGTAGCTCCTTCATCGCAGTTTCTTTGATCAAGTTCACCAGCTCGTCCTGTGCTTGCAGCACTTTGATCAAGTTCTTGTATTTCCACCTGCTTTCCCTTGCGCTCATACTCTTGTTTTATCTTTCTCCTTTCAGCTTCTACTATTTGCAGCTTTTCAATGTTGAATTCCTGGAGAATGAAAAAATAAGATTTGAAATGAATAATGTTACTTTAGATAGAAGTAAACAAGAATTTTTTTAAGGGCCTCTTCAGCAGACAGGCTATCTCATTGGCTTTCTCCTCAGCTTTTGGCAGATGAATCTCACCATCCGCTGCATTTGCTTGGACACATCTCTGTCTTCATTCTTTCTTCTCTTCCTTACCCAATTAATTTGATTTTATTAATTTACCTATACCAATCAATCACATGTAGGATTTGACGAAAGAAAGTGTGTAATCACCATTTTTCTCCCTGAACCCAAATCAAGACCCGATCCAAACAATACCTAAACCCATTATAAAATAAAACTAAAAAAACCGGGCCTCAAGCCCCAAGTTCAGACCCAAATAGCCTCAAACCAGACCCGAATTAGACCCGACCCGGATCTAACCCTATCCTATGGTAGCCATCCAATTCCCCCAACCGGTGGCTACCATTTCCTGCCCCAATGACAAGGAAAGCTCCACGCACGCCACTTCCACCAACACTCCACACCACTGCATCAAAAAAAAGAAAGCAAACAAGTTATCATTGGATTATTTTATCTGTAAATAGATATAAAACCCAAACAAAAATCACTGTAAAAAAATCGTCTGGTGATTCTAAAAAAACACTCTGTAACTTTTCTCGAAGCAATACAAAAAATAAAAAAAGTTTTTTTTTAGCAACACTAATCTATTTCATTTTCTACTTTTTTTTACTTCATTAAAAAAATCACCAAGTAAGCATTTTATTTCAAAACTAATAAACCAAATAGAGCAATGAAGCTATTTTAACAACAACAAAAAAGAAAGAGAGTACTTACATTCGGTCGGAGCCTTGCCGGTGGCCGAGGTCTTCTTTGGCCAATCCTAACGGTGATGAGGAGCGTCTTGAGGAGGGGAGCAACATACAAAAAAAATCGGGTTGATCCAACGGCGGAGAAGGGATATCGGAGCCCAGGAAAGTCAAGGGCTCTCGGCCATTTTCACGGCGTTAGAGGCTTTTTCGTTCGAAACGAGCCAGATCTGTGACGAGGAGCTCGATACGAGTATCCTAGTAAATTTTGGTGGCCAACGGCTTTCGACTGCGGCGCTATGGACAGATCCGAGAGAGAAGTGCTAAAAATTTAAAAAAAAGAGAGAGAAATAAAATAAATTAAAAAAAGGAAAATTTTGTTTTTATAAAATATTTTTGGGAAAATTACTCTTAAGTCACCAACGATTCTCATATTTTTATAAAATGGTCGCTAGAAGGGACATGTTTCATAATTTACCCATTTATGTTTATGCTTTGTAATTTTTGATATAATTTTGTTTTAGTCTCCCTACTTTACGCGTGTTTTTGCATTTTAGTCACCTGTAGGGACTTTTTGTGATTTACCATTTTATGCATGTTATATATTTTTTAGGAAAAAATTACCTTTAAGTCCTTTAATTTCCACGTGTTTTTATATTTTAATCCCTAATCTATTTTTTATTTTGTTTAGATTTAGCCTTCAAATTTCAATTTGTTTTAATTTAACCCCATTATATGTTTAATTTATTTCCTTTTAGTTTAGTAATTTAATATTTATGTATTAGGTCCTTGTATGTATGCTTACTTATGTTGTGTTTTTTTATTTTTTTATTTTTTATTGTAATTAGATTTATTAAATGATTCATTATTTCATAGTTTAATTAGATTAACATTCGAATCAGACTTAGAAATTAGTACAACACTGTAGTTATTAATTAGGGAGTAATTCGAGTCGAGCTTTTTCTTAATATGCCCGCTTACTCGAATCGATTGTTCAACTTTTTAAAATTTATTAATAATTAATATTTTCTAAAAAAACTTTAGGCTTATTCCCTTTTAATAGGTTAATCTAGGTGATATTTAGAATTTTAGTTATTATTTAGTCCGCAAACTTTAGAAATTATTGATTTAGGACCTTAAACTTTTAGTCTCTTAAAACCTGGTATTTTAGACTTTTGACCTTTTAGTCCCCAAACTTCAACTAGATCTTTAAGATTGACATAATTAAATAGGTTAAATAGAGCCTCCACTTTTAGTTAGATTTCAATATAGCTCTCATAATTTAGGGAATAATTGAGTCGACCCTCGCGTAAATGCTCAAGAGACTATCTCGGTTATTTGATTCAATAACTGATTTAAAAATCAGATAGGAATAATATTAGAGCCTACACTTTTGGGTATTTGCCTCTAGGTTCTTTAATTTTTCATAATTTGACACTTTAAGCTAGAGAAAGCCTTAATATATCCTTAGTTTAATTAGGATTAATAAAACTTTGTTTGATTGCATCTTATTTTAAAACCTAAGGCAATGTAAGTAAATGGTATATCTCCCTTAAGTATGTTCAGGGGGTGACTACTGGTGATTCCCGAAATAGGTCGACATCATTTTCTGAAATTAAGGCAATGTTCGGTTATTAGGCACAATAGCTGATCTTCGACCTTTATGCTAGGGGCGAATACTATCGACCTTAATAAACGAATACTCTTTTTTAACTTTGCATCTGTAATGATTTTTAAATTAAAAAAATCGAATTCAAAGTTTCCAATTTTAAATATAATGTAATCAACTAGGTACAAATTTTTGGGCAATTGTGGGGGTGTTAATCCTTACGCGTAACTGACTCCCGAATCTGATTTTGGATTTTTGCATACCTTAAAATTTGGTATTTTGATAAAAATAATTTATGATGTCTCAATCGCACCTTAAATGATTGGTGACGACTCCTCACATTTCAAAATTCTTTTCAAAAAAAAATCCTCGAGTCGGTATCGATCTTTTGCGCACGGACAAAAAACGGTATCGACAGTTTGACGACTCTACTAGAAGACGTTTTGTTTTTAAATTCCTGGAGATTGAAAAAATAAGATTTGAAATGAATAATGTTACTTTAGATAGAAGTAAACAAGAATTTTTGTAAGGACCTCTTCAGCTTCTTGGCGGATGAATCTCACCATCCGCTGGATTTGCTTGACACATCTCCGTCCTTCATTCTTTCTTCTCTTCCTTACCCAATTAATTTGATTTTATTAATTTACCTATACCAATCAATCACGTGTAGGATTTGATGGAAGAAAGGGTTTACGGATACAAATCAATCACTTCCAGGATTTGATTTTTTTCTTTTGGTCTTTGGGAAGTTAACAAAACTGCCGAAATTCCCTGCCTTGAATCATTCACAGCTTCTTTGGTTGACCCAGTAAATCATTTTGGTGTTTTGCTTTGATGGATTGCGACAGACATGTGCGTAATTTGGTTTTAATGAATGCTCCATTGGTTGTGGCCCGGATTATGATCCATTTTTGTCAATAATGAACACTCGAGATAATATAAATAAAAAGATGTTGCTATCTTTTAATTATTATTTTTTTAAAAGGAAAGAGCTAACATTACTTCATTTACATATTGTTGTAGGACAAAGACATGTTGATTAGGGAACACAGTACATAGGATTAGGGAGTTTGAAAGTTCT